AGTAGACCTGGGGACTACCAGCTGGGGGCAGGCGGCATGGGGCTGCCCGGGTGCAAGTTCGGGAGTGACCAAGCCTCCTGCAAGTCACGTGGGGTCAGTTGCCTTCCAGGAGTTATGAAGGATTCGGCTCACCCTTCCTGCTGCAGCCCCTGGAGTCAGGACACGAGAAGGGGGACCAGTCCAGGACACAGCCCTGGGAGACTGGGACTCGGGGCAGGGCTAGGGGAAAGGGCATCTCGGCCTCGGCAGAGCTCACAGCTGCTGTCCTCCAAGGGTGGGAGCCTGGGGGCCTCAAGTCTGGGTTCGTGTGTCCAAGAGCCTGCTGAGAGCACGGATGAGGGACTGGCCAGCAGATGTCAGCAGCTAGCCTTCCTGTGGCCCCTTCCTCACAGGGAGTGCGAGCAGGCCTCGGTCCTCGTGGAGACCACCTTGTCCTTGGTGCCCTGCCTAAATGACTGCGGTCCCTACGGCCAGTGCCTCCTGCTGCGCAGACTCAGCTACTTGTATGCAGGCTGCAGCTGCAAGGCCGGTGAGGGCCGGGCCCGAGGCCTCCAGACACTTCTTTTTTTTTTAAGTTTCTTTATTTAAGTAATCTCTACACCCAAGGTGGGGCTCCAGCTCATGACCCCAGGATCAAGAGTTGCATGCTCCTCCAACTGAGCCAGCCAGGCACCTTGCCTGCAGACCCTTTTGCGCTTAGCCTCTCAGCCCGGCGGCGCCTTCCTCTGGGAGCCCATCTCCTCTCTGTCAAGGCCGGAGAGTGACTCTGCCAAACAAGGGCAAATGCCCCCTCCCCGTTCCTCCCCTGCTTCCTCAGTCCCCTGCTCCCTGCCTCCCAGGCACAGATGGCACCCCCAGAGAGAGTCCTTCCTCCTGACCTTGGCCTGCCCTCCCCATGCCTGCCCCAGCCTGGCTCATACTTGGCCCATGCCTGGTCCATGCCTGCCCAGCCTGGCTCACACCTGGACCACGCCTGGTCCACGCCTGCCCGTGGCATGCCCTACGACTGCCCCGGCCTGCCCCGGCCTGCCCCACGCCTGCCCCACGTCTGCCCCACGCCTGCCCTGGCCTGCCCCACACCTGTCCCGGCCTGCCCCACGCATGCCCCACGCCTGTCCCAGTCTGCCCCATGCCTGCCCTATGCCTGCCCTGGCCTGCCCCATGCATGCCCCACGCCTGCCCCACGCCTGCCCCGGCCTCCCCACACCTGTCCCGGCCTGCCCCATGCATGCCCCACGCATGCTCCACGCCTGTCCTGGCCTACCCCACGTTTGCCCATGCCTGCCCCACGCCTGCCCACGCCTGCCTATGCCTCCCCACGCCTGCCCACGCCTGCCCACACCTGCCCCGGGTGAGGAAGGGGCTTCTCTGCAGGCCTCTAGGGGAGGGGTAGGCCCTGAGCTTCAGAAGGACCCCCCCCCACCTGGCCTCAGCCCCCTGGCGTCACACTGGCCCACAGGCTGGCGTGGATGGAGCTGCACGGACAACAGCACAGCCCAGACTGTGGCCCAGCAGAGGGTGGCCACCCTCCTTCTCACCCTCAGCAACCTCATGTTCTTGGCCCCCATCGCTGTCTCGGTGCACCGTTCGCTCCTGGTGGAGGCCTCCGTCTATGCCTACACCATGTTCTTCTCCACGGTAGGCGTGCTCCACTGCCTTGGGGATGTGGGGGCGGGGCTGGCTGGGGGGCGCTGGGCCGCAGCTTACCACCCCTGCTCTGCAGTTCTACCATGCCTGCGACCAGCCCGGGGAGGCCGTGCTGTGCATCCTCGGCTATGACACCCTGCAGTACTGCGACTTTCTGGGCTCTGGGGTGTCCATCTGGGTCACCATCCTCTGCATGGCGCGGCTGAAGGCAGCCCAGAAACATGTGAGTGACTCCTGACGCCTGGGTCTGGGCTCCAGGCGTGCCCCATATTGAGGAAGAGACCAGAAAGAGGGCTTGGCTCTTAGAAACCCGCCGTCTCTTGTAATGACCATTCTCCTGCTGGAAGAAGCTGCCTCCAGCTGGGAGGGGGCCGGCTGCTTGGAGAGGGCCAGGAAAGAAAGGTGGTGGGCAGGGTCAAGTGAGGCCCCCAGCCTGTCTCTCCCAGAGCCCCCTTCAGAGAGGAAGCCTAGAGAGCCAACCCTAGGCCAGACCTCCCTGACAAGCCCCCAGCTGTGCTGCTGCAGTCCTTGTGCAGAGGACACTTTGGGGACTTTTCTGCCTCAACTAGCTCTGGGTAATAGGGACACATGCCCTGGGGCCTTGCCTGGTCACATTTGTGCCTCAGAAGTCCACTTGTGGACGGATCAGTAGGAGCCCTGGGTCCCAGCAAGGCAGAGCAGGGCAAAGTGTGCCAGCAACTCTAAGGCCAAGGGACAGTGGGGGCCAGCAGGACGATGACCATGCCCAGGTCACCATTTCCTACTGTACTTTGCGTTGTCATGAACGACTGGCTGAGGGTTCCATGACCTTGTGGTCACCCCTGTGTCTTGCCCAGGTCCTGTTTCTCCTGGGCACGCTGATCTTCGCCATGTCCTTGCAGCTGGACCGCAGGGGTGCCTGGAACATGATGGGGCCTTGTCTCTTTGCCTTTGCGGTCATGGTCACCATGTGGGTAAGGAGCTGGGACAAGCCAGCGCTCCTGGCCAGAACCCCCTCCCCTGGTGATTGGGATAAGAGAGTCTGGGCTCCCCGCAGACCCCTCATTCTGGCCATGTTCCTGCCCCTGGGCCCGAGTCCTGCACATCTGCCGAGGACTGCTGGGGGCACCCACGAGTGCCCAGCACGGCTTCATGCCTGAGGCCCGGGCCTGACACCTGTCAGGTCTTTGTGCCCTTAGGGCCCTCTCCAAGCAGCCACACCAACGACGACGAGGTCCCGCTGCCCAGACCTGGGGGGGAGGCCCCGGGAGCCACGGCTTCAGCCTCCTCTGCCGGAACTCACGTGTTGGCTCTCTCCAGGTGTACCGCTGCGGGTACCGGCGGCACTGCTACCCCACCTCCTGGCAGCGCTGGGTCTTCTACCTCCTGCCCGGCATCTCGATGGCTGCTGTGGCCATTGCCATCTATACCTCCATGATGACCAGTGACAACTATTACTACACGCACAGCATCTGGCACATGCTACTGGCGGGGAGTGCGGCCTTCCTGCTGCCGCCGCGTGAGCAACACACCAAGCCCTGGGCCTGCTCGCAGAAGCTCATTTGCCACTATCAGATCTGTAAGAACCACGGAGAGGACCTGTACACGGTGACATGACGTGGCCAGCTCAGGGAGCCCGGCAGCTGTAAACAGGACCTCTCTGGCCAGGGGCAGGACCAAAGGAGAAGGACCCTGTCCAGATCAATTTCCAACTGAATAAAATTGCCCTTGCACTCTCTGGCTTCCTCCCGAGGAGAGGACTGCCCCCCCCCCCCCGCCCCCGGCCATTCCCTTGTGCCTGCTGGTTGCTGGCTACCACGGTCCCTCTGCAGGTCCCAGCTGGTGTCTGCAGGGGCCCCTGGGGCCTGGGCCTGGCTGCTTGGAGACCGTGGGTGTCATGCAGGGGCAGGCTCTGTGTTTGGCTGGCTGAAGGATGGTTGGCGATGTGGAGCGAGATTCCCCCATCGTCCCTGTTCCCTGTGAGGTGGTGAGGTGAGGCTCAGGGGGACAGAGGAGGCCTGAGCCCACTTCCCACAGGCCTCCGCCCCACTGAGCCTGGGACCGTGCCCTCCTTGCGTCTCTGGCTCCGTGACAAGGTGTGCCCTGATGCCGGCCTCCCCGGGTGTGGGCATGCTCCCTGCTGATGCAGTGGTGTGGGGAGAGGCAAACACAGTCACCAGGCACCTGCTGGGCACTGAGAGGCTGGGTTTTGCCCGTCTGGTCCTGCCCCTCCCCTCCATTCGGCTCTCTGCTTTGGAGGTGCCGCCCCTTGGGAAGAGCTTCCTTGGGAGGGGGCTGCCGAGCTGCTCTGGGAGTGCAGTACCACAGGTCCCACCCTGCCCCAGCTCCATCTCTCCAGCCAGCCCATGGGTTCCTGGGCCCTTGCCTGGGGAGCCACTCATGCTCTCCAGTTGCTCCAGGAAAGCAAGTGATGATTGCTGCCCTGTACAGGCCTAACCGTGTGTTTGGGGAGGGGTTTCCCTGAGACCTGGCCCAGCCTTTCTCCATCCTCTGTGGGGGAAGCAGTAAGGGGGGCTGACTGCCCCTCCCCTAAGGCAAGACTGCTGTGGCTGCCTACCAGGGGTGCCCGAAGTGGCCGGAAGTGGCCACAGGAAGCTGAGGCCTCTGAAGGTGGGGTGGGGTAGGGTGGGGACAGACAGCCCTCCCACCTACTGGCCCCGGGGCTTCCCTTCCTGTCCCGCTGTGGCCTCCCTGTCGGCCTCCCCCACCCCTTCTCACCCTGCACTCGGCCCCTAGCACATTCTCTAGGCTTGTAAAGGGGAGACAAACATTTATATACGGTGGTTTGGGGGGTTACAAGTTTTTTTTACAAGTTTTTAAGACATTAAGACATTTTTATGTAGCTCTGATTTTGCTGTGATTGGTGAGTTTAATATTCTACAGTGATATTTCAAGGCACAAGAGTCTTTTATTTTAGAGCGAGAGTGCGGGGGACGAGGGGCGGGGAGGATCTTAAGCAGGATCTATGCTTCGCGAGGGCCCGATCTCAGGACCCTGGGATCACGACCTGAGCCGAAATCAAGATTTGGACTCTTAACCGACTGAGCCACCCAGGCGCCCCGAGACACAAGAGTTTTTACATTGATTTCTGCTCTCCATCCGGGAGGAGAGGGGGTGGGACAGAAGATGACAAGCTCCACGCCCCCTCCCCGCCCCCAGCTCCTCTCAGGGGGAAAAGGATCAGCATTTGCTGACGGTGCCTTGAGCTGCTGCCGTCACGGCCGGGCATTTTCCACGGTCCCTAAAGACAGGAAACGGGGCGGGACGAGAGTAGACTGACGGGCTTTTCAGCCAGTTAGCGGCGGATGGGGTGTAGGTGCTGCGTCGCGACTTCTGGTTCCGGTGGAGCGCGGAACTCGGAGAGGCAGGCTGTGGGCTAGGTCAGAGTCGGGTCTCCAGGGGCGAGTAGGAACTGCAGATCCGGGCCAGGGACGGGAGTCCAGGTCCGGGATTGGGAGTCTGGGCGAGGGGAGAGGCTACACGGATAGTTGGGGCCGGATCTGGAGCCCTGGGGCCGCGGTCGGGAGTCCGGGAGACCGGGGTCGGGGCCGGAGGGACCGGGGTCGGGAGTCAGGGGGTCGGCGTCGGCAGTCAGGGGGCTGGGGTGGGGTCGGGGGGACCGGGGTCGGGAGTCAGAGTCCGGGATTAGGAGTCGGGGCGAGGGAAGAGGCTACACGGGTGGTTGGGGCGGGGTGTGGAGTCGTGGGGCCGCGCGGGTAGTCGGGGGGACCGGGGTCGGGAGTCTAGGGGCCAGGGTCGGGCAGCGGTCGGGAGTCAGGGGACCGGGGTCGGGATCGGAGGGACTGGGGTCGAGAGTCAGGGGGTTGGCGTCGGTAGTCAGGGTCGGGGTCGGGGGTCGGGATCGGGGGGACCGGGGTCGGGAGTCGGGGGGACCGGGGTCGGGAGTCAGGGGGTCGGCGTCGGTAGTCAGAGGGTCGGGGTCGGGAATCAGGGGGCTGGAGTCGGAGCGCGGGCGTCGGGGGTCGGGGCCGCGCGGGTAGTTGGGGCCGGAGTGCGGCCCGGCTGTGGTGTAACGGCGCCACCCCTGTCTCCCGCCAGGCTCGTCGCGATGCCTCTGCACAAGTTCCCGGTCGGCCTGTGGAAGCAGCTCCGGCTGCGGGAAGGTATCTGCTCCCGCTTGCCCCGGCACTACCTGCGCTCCCTGGAGGAGGCGCGGACGCCCACTCCCGTGCACTACAGGCCTCACGGGGTTAAGTTCAAGATCAACCCGAAGAATGGGCAGCGAGAGCGTGTAGAGGATGTACCCATTCCCATTTACTATCCCCCAGAATCCCAGCTGGGGCTCTGGGGTGGGGAGGGCTGGATCCTGGGCCATAGATACATCAACAACGACAAGGTATGTGAGCAGGGCAGGGTACTCCTTCGGGGTACTCCTCTGGGATTTGCTGTCCTCAGCCCTGGGCTGTGCTCTGGAGGTTCAGGGGGTGGGGTGGGGGTGGGGGTGTGTGCTTACAGTGTGGTGGTGTTCTGAGACAGGGTGGTGCAGAGCCACTGGATGGTTAGCCAGATCAAGTGTGAGGAGGAGGAGGAGATCTGTGTGCGAGGGGCAGTAGTGGGAGGTCAGGTCTTCGGTCACCTGTCAGCCTGACACGCTGTAGTTTGCCTCCTTCTGGTGACTGCCACCGCATCACTGCACTTAGGAAGGCTGAGAGATGCACGGTCTGCCTTCCACACCGTGCAGTCTCTGGTGGGAAACCTGGAGGGGCTGCTGAGCCCTCTGCAGGGTGGCTTGTGTCTTTGAGGCCTCCCAGGGGGCCTCTCCCTTTGTCTTCGGCCCCTTGGTCCCCGGTTTGGAATGTGATGACCTGTGAACCACAGAGTTATGGTTTTATGTGTGGTGTGTCTGGAACGCACACCAGCAACCCAGGTAGGGTTGAGGAGAAGGTGATCTCTGGGTCCCCAGGTGGGGCCTGGTCCATCCAACTCTCCGTCCTGAGCCTCAGGAAGATGCCCCAGCCCCATTTGGCTCTGTTGGGAGAAGCAACAGCCCTCATGAGGTCTCTGTTCCTCCCTTAGCTCTCAAAGAGGGTGAAGAAGGTGTGGAAGCCACAGCTGTTTGAGCGTGAGCTCTACAGTGAGATCCTGGACACGAAATTCACCATCACAGTGACCCAGCGGACCCTGGACCTCATTGACGAGGCCTACGGGTTTGACTTCTACATCCTCAAGGCAAGCAGGGGGCTGTGCCAGCACACAGCGGAGTCTCCTAGTGAGTCAGAGACTCACCGGGGCACACCTGTGTCTGGGGTGGAGGGACACCAGTGAAATATAAACGGGGTCCCAGTGAGCATCACTGCTTCCTTCCCTGCTCTCAGACCTTCCTTTGTCCTGTGATGGCCTGGGGCCCTCCCGCTGCTGAGGAAGTGGTGGGGTTTGCTGGCGGGTGGGCAGGGCCCCACCAGCAACACCTGGCCCCATGCATAGCCTCCTGCCAGACTCCAAAGGAGGACCTGTGCTCCAAGTTCGGGATGGACCTGAAGCGAGGGATGCTGCTGCGGCTCGCCCGACAGGACCCCCGGTTGCACCCAGACAACCCCAAGAAGAGGGCAGCCATCTACGACAAGTACAAGGTGAGGGCTTTGGTTTGTACTTCTGGCTCCTTGTGGGTCCCATTGGTGGGCCGTACGTCTGCTCATCCAGTGCCTGGTCTCTCCTGTGCAGGAGTTTGTCATCCCGGAGGCAGAAGCCGAGTGGGTCGGCCTGACACTAGATGAGGCTGTGGAGAAGCAGAGGCTCCTGGAGGAGAAGGTGAGCACGTGTGAGCGCCAGCTGCTGAGCACTAGCAGACGGATGGGTGGGGAGGCGTACTGCCTCTGGGGAAGCCTGGACTGGGGGCCGCTGCGCCCGGTGAGCTTGGGGAGGAGCTGCTGCTGTGCACAGCTGGCCCGGTACAACCACCCACCCAACCCTGGGAGCTGCTGACCCAACCACGGCCTTGGGTTCCGTGCGGCGTGCCCCCTGCCCTCGAGGTCCTGACTCTGTCCTGCCCACCCCAGCCCGCCCCCCAGCTGGCTTCATAAGTTCATGGACAGGAAGACTCTTGGTGGCACCTTTGGTTTCTTTGGCCACGTGGCACCCCCCTGCCCTGCGATCTTCCTGGTATTGAGCTGAGGTCTTTTTGTGTCTGCACCCTGGAAGTGTCTGGAGCTCGTGGTCACTGCTGCAACAGGGAGCCCACCAGCAGCCGTTGCCCCTGTTCTCTCTGTTTGGTTTATCTGCAACCACAGGGCCCCAAGGCAGGGAAGTGGGGGAGAGATGCCTGGTCCCTGGGTCCCCAAGGGAAGGTGGCCTCTGTCTCGTGGACGGGGCACTGTCCTCTGGGCTGGTGGCTGCAGCGAAGCCTGAGGGGTCTAGTCTCGTGCCGGATGCCTCTGTTTGGCCAGCAGCAACTGGATTCCTGCCTTCCCCAGAGCGACTCATCCTGACCCTGTTTCGCTCTTGTAGGACCCGACTCCTCTGTTCAAGGTCTACGTGGAGGAGCTGATTGGGCGGCTGCAGCAGCAGACACTGTCGGAGCCCATGGTGGTGCACAAGGGAGCCAGCAAGAAATGACTGCACGGTGACCCAGGCCTGACAGCCATGCTCAGCCATGTCCCCCCCCCCCCCCCGGCCCTGGCACTGTGGACATGAGAGCCTGGGGTGGTGGTGAGGGCCACGTGTGGGTAGCGGATGAATCCGTTCTTCTGTACTGACTCAGCAGCTCCCAGGGTTGGGTGGGCTTTGTGGAGGCCCCAAGGGGTCTCGTCCCAGGGTCCCCAGAGGTCTGGGGCCATCTTGCTGCCTCTGTGGCCCCCCCTTCCCCCTGAAGTGGAGGCCCAGCTGAAGTGGGGTCACCACACTTCGGGGGCAGCACAAGTAAAGTCTGAACTGGGCCGTGTGTGTGCTGCTTTGCTTGGAAGACTGGAGCTCTCCTGAGTGGTCTTTGACCTCGTCGTGCCCTGCCCCAGAGACCTGGGATGTGGCTGAGCTGTGGGACCGGGGTTCGTGTCAGTGTCTTGGCTTCCTCTGGGAGAGTCCAATGTAGTTGAAGGCATCTTGCAACAGATCGTCTCCCTGTTGCACATCCCCACCATCTGGAGGGTTATCCAGAGTGGAGGCAGGGAGGCTTGGCCTCCCTGGGAGTGCCAGGGAAGGCTCTGTGCTGGCATGCCATTCTGGGTGGTGAGCACCCCCACCAGCTCTCGGGAGGTGCAGGGATGGGATTCCCAGTGGGAGGCCAGCCCAGGTGCCCTGACACCGTTCCTGCTCTTGAGATTTGGGGGCTGCCTTGACCTTCTTCCCCAGCACTTTCCTGGGAATACTAAGCGTTGAGACCCATTCAGATCACTCAGGGAGGACAGGGAGTGATTCCCCTGGCCTGGTCCTGGCAGCTGACCCCGGGGCACCCAGCTCCCATGAGAGATGCTGTGGAAATGAAGACATCTGGGCTGTGTTCGTGGAGGTGGAGACGGGAGCATGAGGCTGGGCAGGGAACACAGTGGCAGGAGGGCCCTAGAGACCCCACAGTATAGGGAGGTCATTGCGGCGGGGGGGGGGGGGCGGTCTGTCCTCTGGGGAGCGATCCTGAGGTCTCTGTGCAAAGCTGGGAAATGCTGTCATCAGTCCCAGAGTCTGCTGGGGTGTACCTTTGAACCCATGTCTTTTTTTTTCTTTTTTAAAGATTTTATTTATTTATTTGACAGAGAGGGACACAGCAAGAGAGGGAACACAAGCAGGGGGAGTGGGAGAGGGAGAAGCAGGCCTCCCGCTGAGCAGGGAGCCCGATGCGGGGCTCGATCCCAGGACCCTGGGATCACGACCTGCGTTGAAGGCAGACGCCCAATGACTGAGCCACCCAGGTGTCCCTGGGCCCATGTCTTGATGCACATGATTGTTTCTTTGTGGGGTGCCCCAACATTGGGAACAGTTTTTAATTTTTCAAAAGTTTTACCAAAAGCTGCCAGCGCCCAGCCCACCCCTGCGCCAGCTCTGGCTGGCCTGCAAGGCCCAGCCCAGCTATCCAAACCACAGCCCCTGGCTCCAGCTACATAGGTGGTCTGGACTGGCCAGCCCTCTGACCCCCACTGGATCCCACTTGATGTTTCCCATGCTTAGCCCTGAACTGAATCACACTGATCCCTTTCTAGCCTGTGTCACCTGCGCGCCCCCCCTCCATGCTGTGCACCCCAGATGCCCCGAGTTCTTGGCCATGGCTCTCAGTCATGCCTTGCTCAGCTGCTCTTTCCTGCCCCCACTCAGGGTACAGGTCAAGGTGGGGGGAGCTCCTATCAGGACTTGTAGTGTTTGTGTGTCAGCTGGTACCTGAAGGGGCCTAGAGCTGGCGCAGGGTGTGTGGCTGGAGCGGGGGGGTGGGGGGGTGCTAGGCTGCCTGTGGCCGTGGTGGGGGAGGGTGGACTCTGGCCTGGGTCTCCCTGTCAGCACTGGAGGGCCACGCAAGAGTGTCGAAAGCAGAGGCCCAGCCAGAGTGGGGTTACCACACTTGGGGGCAGCACAGGAAAGTCTTAGGGTTGCAGCTCTGCTCTCCCTGGGGTGTGGGGGTTACCGCAAGGATGGCCCAGACTGGCCTCCAGGCTGCTGGTCAATAAAGGAGCTTGGTGTGGCCTCAGCAGGTCACTTCCCTCCCCATAACCCGCGGCGGGTCTGGCTGTGGCCTTGGCCGTTTTCTGGCAGAGTCAGTCTCCGTTTCACCAAATTCTCATGAAGATCCTCTACCCAGGAAAGGTTAGGCTGTCAGTGAATGACAGATTCGCCTCCCCACCCCAAATAAAACTGCCCGGGTCTGGGAAGGTGCCTGGCAGGCAGAAACTGCCACACTGTCCCCTTCCAGAAGGTGGGGAAGCTCACACGCTGCACACCAAGCAGGAGCTGGGCAGTGGGGGCCTACCAGGCCACATGTCCCCCTCCAGGGTCACCTTCCTTGTTACTTGTCCCCACAGGCCACGGCTCCATTACTCTGCTGTGTGCGTCCCCGAGAGCTGCCAGTCCCCTCACTGAGTCCCTGCAGCCCCTCAAGGCCCCTAGATTGGGGTGGGTAGTTGTACTGACCAAGGTCAAGCCCGCAGAAGTCCAGACTGCCCTGCGCTGGCCTGGGTGGGCAGACAGGCTAGGCCCCTGTCCCTCCCCGACCCTCTAGGAGCCCTTGGGCAAGCCCCCTTGCTCATGTGTTTCCATGACAGCCCAACCAGTCAGGGTCCATGGACATGAGGGTTGGCCATCACCAGCTATAGATGGAGAGGTCCCTTGGGACCTAGGCAGTGGAAGCCCCTGACAAGTGTGACCATCAAGACCATGGGGTCCCGAGGCCCAGGAAGGACACCTGAGGTTAGGAAGGGTGTGGCCCAGTCCATGGCTCTGTGTCTGACCCCTCACCTGGAGGGTCTTGCCTGAGTCCTACTTAGGTGTGCACTGGCTTGCAGGGTGGAAGATGTGGAGAAAACCAGCAAGTCTTCACATCTCCCTGCTAGGACTCCAGAGGAGCTGCTGTGAGGCCTACCCACGTGCACTGTCTTTCCCTCTGGAGCCTTGGCTCCAGACCCCCTTGCACATCAACTTGCCTAGTAGCATCAGCCCTATGCCATCTGGCACTCTCTGCCACAGCACACCAGAGCCCTCCCCAAGCTCTCCTGAGCCCCAGAGTGGGGCTCCCACTGCTGGACCCTCCAGTACCTCCAGCTGACCCAGACCTATGTCCCCACCCACACCTCGTCCCTGGACAAGACCTGTCTGCTGGTGGTGTCCAGTATGGGAGGGGGAGGGCCCTCGAGGCTGGGGGCCCACTCCTGTAACTGAGCCTCTTGGGCTGGGGCCAAGCCAGTGTGGAGAAGTCTGGAACCACGTCCCCAGGCTGCCTGAGCAGCTTCGGTGCCATATAATTCCGGGCCCAGCCTGGCCCACCCTGAGCCCATTCCCTTGGATGTGCAACCCCTGTGGACCTGTGTACCAGATTCCCCCTATCTCCCAGGTCCCTCTGACCTTGGCAGTGGCTTCCTCAGCAGCCCCTGGGCCCCTGCAGTCCTGGCCTCTTTGCAAAGATTTGGGGCTCACAACTGCTCCTCACAGGCCTGTGACTGTTGTTCACTTCCTCTTTTCTCCAGCAAGTGTGGGCTGGACTTGGGCCAGGAAGTGGGATGCAGCTCCCCAGGGCTCTCAGGTGGATCTCATGGGGGCATTGACTCAGCCCCTGTTTGTGCAGAACCAAGAATGTTTGGATTGTCACAGAGATGGGTGTAGGTTGGCTCCAGGATGGTCAGTCCTTGGGGTGATGCTGTGTCGAGCCCTTGATGAGAAGCCCTGGTCTTGAGACATCTGGGAAGGCCTTACCAAGGGGCTGGTGCTGACGGACCCAGGGGATTCAGGCCAAGGGACGAGCACAGGTGTGTGGTTAGTTTCTGCAGGGTTGGAAAGTGCTTGGTGTGACTGAAGTCCCAGAGTCCTGCTGGGTTGGGGACACGGGTCTGTGAAGCGACACTGCCAGGCTGGGCCTCTGAAGGCTCTTGAGAGGGGACTGTGTGAGTCTGTGTGTGTGCTCAGCAGGTTGATGAGAGTGGAGGAGGGTTTGGCAGGCCCCTTGGGGTCTCAGGTGGATTGAGAGGTTGGCTCTGTCCCCCTGAGTATGGGGAGTTCCCCCTGCCCTTTCTCCCACTGCCCTCACCCATTATTTTCTCACCAGATGGCCTGGCCTTCAGCCTCTGGGGCAAGCCTGACCTGAAATCCTCCTTGAAGTAGAGGCTGCAAAGACATTGTTCCTGCCTCCACCAGGTGGTCAGGCAGGGCATGGAGTGGGCTGGGACATGTTCCAAGAGAGGGACCTGGACCCTTCATGCTGGACGTATGTGAAACACACACACACACACACACACACACACACACTCAACAGCTGGTGCAGGAGCAGGGTCCAGTCATGCCTGACCCGACACTCCGAGGGGACCCTGGTGTGGGCCCACGGCGGCACTGCCTGCTCCCTCGGCAGTCAGGAGTGGCTCGGGGGTGGCGGTGTCTAAAGGGGCTGGTTGCCATGGCTACCATAGGGTTCTGAGGCCGTCATCTGGTCCCTGCCTCAGCCAATCGGCAGTGGGAGCCCGAGCTGCAGCCCAGAGTCACACTTCTTCCTCCCAGCCACACAGTGGCCAAGAGCAGGGACCCGCGTCCTGGAGTGGCTGAAAGTGCTCAGACAGACGGCCAAGCCCATCATGGCGGACCGCGGGATGGTGGGGCACGAGCAGGCGCCTGGAGCCAGGCAGGTGAGGTAAGCCGGGCGGGCAGACGGATGGACAGACGAGCAGGCGGACAGGTGGATGTGCTCCCTGCTGCCCATTGTTCTTATGGCTGAGGCCCTGCCCTCAGCCCACCCTGCCCTCTGCACCCTCGTGCGCACGCTCGCACACACACCTGCAGCCTCACCCTCACCCCGGGACCCTCTCCCCAAACGTCCCAAAGAAGGGTCATGGGATGAGAGACAAAGGGAACCGCACGAGGCAGGATGAATCCCACTGCACCGTTGGTCCCGAAAATCGTTCTCCCATGTCTTTCACTCGGATTTCACATGGAGGCGGCATCAAAGACCCCCAACTGGCCAGGCCCTCAATGTG